TGATATTATGAATAATTAAATGAAGGCATTTTATGTAAACATCTTGTATACGAACTTTTATATATTTTAAAAATATTTATTTACATTGCTCGTTTAATGACACCCTTTACAAGAAAAATATTTATTTATATTTTATTTTAAATAATTTGTAGTAAATTTAGATATCTTAAATTATTAATTAGTGCTTGATACGGTCCTCTAAACTTCAAAGAACATTATATATTTTCTTTAAATTAAAGATTGTTATTTTTTTAATATTTTAAAAATTAAAAGAGTAATATTTATAAAAAAATATTTACCTATTTTTAGCATGAAATAGAAAATATCCACGGAAAAGAGTTTAAAAAATTATTTTTTATTTATCTAAAATTTCCTCTGGATTTATCTATTTAAAGTCGTCGTTATCAACCAAAAATCGTACTTGCTAATTTTCAACGGAGTTTGGTCGCTGGAAATGGTATATATCCCTGTTCACAACACCCGGTTTAAGAGGAGGAAGATACAACAACAAAGCCCTTATCAAAAACAAGGAAGATAAAAGAAAATTGAAAGTGAAAAAAAGTAAATAAAATAAAATAAAATGTAACACTATTATTTAATAATAATTTTTTAATAAAAGATAAATAAATTACATAAAATGACTTTTTGTAAAAATATTAATAATATATTCATTTAATAAAGATTAACATTTTAAAATCATTTTAAATTTATCTTTTTTATATTATACAAAATATTTAATATTATAAAAATATATATTTATAGCTCCCACTTCTGGTAGATCTCTTATAGTAAATTCCAATTGATTTCCTCTTTCCTTCCTCTCAACTAAATACATAAGACACCTTATGTCTCTCCAAATTCTTCTCGTTTTCACTTTTCTCCTCCAACTAAATAAAGTGTAACGAATTACATTGGTGTAATTTTTCAATAATATTTATACAGTAAAAAGAGAAAGAAAAAATATATAATTAAATAATTGATAGGAAAGGAAAAAAATAAAAAATTTGACGAGTAATTTAACACTATTTTTTTTTCATCTTTTATCTCTCTTCTTTGCTCCTCTATTCTCGTTCCGTCATTGTCGTTCTCCAGCTGCAATATATTTTAAAGGTAAACAATATTTTGCTGTTTACAGTAGTATTTTTGAGTTAGAACTGGGAAGATGTTGCTATACTTGACTAATACATTGTCTTATATATCGCTGTAGATGAGATTGAAAACAAAACGACAATGACATTTCGAGGGATAGATGGCAAATGGGAATCCATCTTCGAGTCTGTCGTTGTCATCATCTTCATTCTCTATATATGAAAATGAATTTCCTCGTTTTATCTTGAAATAAGGTCATGTGATATTTCACTAATAGGTACAAATATTCTCTCTTTTTTCTATATTATTTCTTCTTATCACTGCTATTATAATGAAATTTATATTCAATAATCTTATTTCTTCATACTGATTTTTTATTGTTCTTTTTTACCTCTTTCTTCCTCCGTTCAATTCACATCCCAAAGATAAAATGTAAGAGTACCACTTTTCCAATTATGTTTTATTCAGTAATATTTAAATAACGTTACAAAAAATAATAAAAATAACGATTTTCTGACAGCTTATTTGCCACAGCTAATTAAAATTGTCACAATTTTTTTATGGATTATTTCTGACATTGAAAATGTGTGGTAATTTGCTGAGAAAATGTTTCTGACCAAAATTGGTTTTTTTAGTGAAATAACTTATTACTTTCGGAAAAAAAAAAACTTCCGTGTAGTAAGATTGTTTCAGTGTAACAATTTTATGTTAGCATTAACGGGTTTCAATCCCTCAGATGGAAACCAGGCTTCATAGTTTACATACCATGGGACTTGTATATACTTATCTAGCCATTCATTTGGATCCAAAACACGTGACCAATATATATTTAGTTGTGTGTGCAATGGTTTACATTTTGTATAATTTCACCATTGGAGAGATTTTGTGCAAATAATTGCCACAGGTAAAGAACCGTATCTTTCACTAGTTACCGATGGATGCACCACCATAGAAATTGGGATAAAAATCTCGCACATGCTCTATCCCATTATATGTGTAGGGAATCTCCTCTACAGTATGTAAACCACATTAATTATAATATTAAAAATATGATTATAAAAGAAGATAATAGTAATCTATATGATAAACTAATATATTTAATGGTACATATATCAAGAGATTTTCCTTGTTTCGAAGCCGACTAAATATTTGTTGAGAGCTAATTTTGTTGTGAGTACGTCAACAATGACGACATGGCTAATGGAGGTAGGGGTGAGAGAGAGGATGAGAGTAGTAATTGAAGCATGGAAGAGTAAAATGTTCACTGATCTCGAGCCACGCATGCACTTAATAGAGCTAAGCCGTGTGAGTGCGGCTTAGGGGCAACACATAGAAGTGAGGGAGTACCAACCCAATTCGACAACAAAAGTGGGTTACATATCCAAATCCAGAGGCTAACAGCTCCTCATTGTTTATTTGCTTCGAGGTGGTTAGCTTTGGGATCACAACCCCACTCTTTTTTTTTTTTCGTGTATTTAAAAATATTAATAATAACTTTCATATATACGAGTGCATTCACATTTAAAAAATTATCCATTTACGTTTATTTACATAATTTAATGTGTTTATAAACATGTACACAAAAGATATTTTTAATTTATTTTATATATAAATTTAAAATAATATTAATTAGTCTTTTTATTTAAATTACTTATATTATTTGATTAATTTTTAAAATTATTTAAAGATAAATAAGTTCTGTAATCAATTTTAATAATATAAATTTAATATTTTAATTTTTATAATTTTAAAAACTCAGATAAATAAAAAAAAAAAATATTCAATATGAATTTATATACAATAAATTTTAAATATATATTATAAAAAGTAAAAAAATTTATACATTAATAATATTAAATATAATATTTTTTAATAAATATTTATTATTAAATAAATTTTACTGTACATCTTTAAAATACGTATTAAAAAAATAAACTCTACTCAATTGTTACATAAACAAATCTTAAACTCATAAAAACTTTAACGATTATGATTTAGTATTTTTATCTATTAAAAAAATAATTTCTTAGTCGATTTTAATTTTCTTAAGAATAATAATAACTATAATTTTTTTAGTTGATTATGATCAATTCGCTTATCACTACATTCATAATTACTTTATTGCAAATAATGGTTTCAAGTTGTGTCTAATTTAGTTATTACATAAAATTGGGAAGGTCAGTGTACCGAGAAAAGTAGTTATATTTATATGTCGTCTGTTGCTTAATGCAATTTCAGTAAGAAGAAATTTAACCAAACACGAATCAACGATTTCTTTAAAAGCTTATAAGTTTTATGATACTAAAGATGAGAAGGTACTACACATTTTTTACATTGTGATACTTTCATGAGACTGTAGTATATAGTGTTCAAATGGTTAGGGTTAGTATATGCTTACTTGAAAGCTTGCATGAGATATTACTAAGTATGCGTGAAATTCAATGTGGAAAACAAAATGAAAGAGAGCTGTGATAGTACGATTTGCAATATTATGAACAATTTAGCTTTAGAGGAATAATATTATGTTTGATAAGAGTGTACTAAATATTAGTGAAATATTTAATTATATTAAATATTATTATTGAAAGTGGCTCGCGGTAGGAACTATTGGAAGCTTAATTATATATATAAATTGAATTAATGATCCTTTGACATGTATCTTTAATTCTCTTTAGAGATATAATAGGTTAAAATACTTCTTGTACTCATATTTTATCTTTAATAAAGTGTTGATGTTTAACAAAAAAAAATTTAAACAAAATTAAATATTTTTGCCAATTTTACAGTTAAAACAATTATCATCTAAATTATTATTTTTTATTTTTATCTAGTTTTTGCATAATTTTTTTTAAAATAATATAATAAAAAGGTTCAAATACTTTTAGTAAACAAATAAATAATAAAATACATTTCTTTTTAGTGTCTTTTTATAATGCATATATACATTAAAATTAAAAAAATGATAATACATAATTTTACTCATGATATTATTTTTTATTAATTTAAATGATAATAATATTTTATTTTTAACCAATCCATACGTGAAGAAATATAATCAACATATTTGCTTTGACTTTTTTACCAGCTTTAGTTAAAAAAAATTTTATTACCAATTAAAAAAACACTAGATTTTATATTTTCATACAAATTAAGGGGCTAAATTAAAACTTTATCAAAGTGTTAATAAAATAATGAAAGGGGATATATATATATATATATATATATATATATATATATATATATGGCAAGATATTCTTATAAGTTTAAAAAATTTTACACTTAATCTGAGTCTTTCATTTAATTTAAATCTAAAAGGTTATAATTTATTATATTGTAAATTGTTAAATAAAAAGACTCAGATTAAATATAAGAGTTTTTAAACTTATACTGGTGTAAAAAAAATGATTTTTACCACATATATATATATATATATATATATATATTATGATATAGCCATTGTAACACTCCTATGTATTTCGGTGGTGTGCCTTCACAACTATTGACTAAGTTTATATATTTATATAATATTTTTATTTGTAATCTTATATTTTAATCATATTACATTATTTAACTTATTTTTGGTATATCTCTCTTCCTTTGGCGGAAACACAAGTTCACAAGAATAGTGTACGATCAAACATTATTCCTAATAAAGAATAAAAGAAAAAAGAAACAGAATGGCAATTATCTGCAAATTTTAAGCCCAACTTGGGGCATTTTGTAAATCACATTCCACATCCTTCAACTCAAACCAAGAGGACACGCATCATTTTCCCTATAAATATATGTAGAAGCTCTATGTTGTCTCCCCAAAAACATTTCGCCCTTTTGAGGAGAACTTAACACTGGTTTTCAAAGAAAAGAGATCGAAGCCAGTGGCGTGCTATACAGCTAGGTAGAAAGAAAGAAAGAAAGAAATAGAGAGAGATAGAAAGTAATAAGATACAAATACACCACAATGAATCATCGACCTATCCAAGACCATATGATGCTTATCTCTCAGTTATACCCTGCCGGTGCATACACTCAAATTATTACTCAACAAGGTTAGAATCTATGCTTAAACGTTGCTACTCTTTAGCATTTTCTTGTATTCATCAAAATCTACAGCATAAACTAAATCAAAAACTTTTTTTTAATTTTCCATCTATATACATATACATGTTTTTCAGGGGAGAAGAAGCCAAGACGCCGGCGTAATAAGAAGAGCAAAGGAGGAGAAAACGGAGCCTCGGAAGCCAACAAAAAAAGGAAGCTTAGTCTAGAACAAGTTAATCTACTTGAGCTAAACTTTGGAAATGAGCATAAACTTGAGTCCGAAAGGAAGGACAGGCTCGCAATGGAGCTAGGTTTGGACCCTCGACAAGTTGCCGTGTGGTTTCAAAATAGAAGAGCTCGATGGAAGAACAAGAAGTTGGAAGAAGAGTACTCGAACCTTAAAAAAAACCATGAAACCACCTTGCTCGAGAAATGTCGCCTTGAAAGTGAGGTACACGGCTTTCTCTTTCCCATACTTTATTACAACTAAATTTTAATTTCCTTTAATAAATTAAGGTTATTGTTTGGTCTTCCTAGAAAATTATCTGACCAACTAAATTTAAAAGCAAGAGATCGTACGTAGTTAACAAGCGAGAGCCATTTTATTGGTCCATATTAGTTCTTGTGCTTAGGAAACTTGTTGGGGGAATAAAACCATTACTTGTAGTATGATTTTTAATATGGCCTAGTCTTGGGGGAACTCAAAACGCAAGTGATCGAAGGAGAGGTAGTATAGTACGCTGCCTTGAGAGCGTGAAATTAAACTTTTTTGTTTCCCACCAATAACTTAGTAGTAGCCAAATACTGCACAGTTTACACTCAACGGTAGTGTCGTTTTCTTTTTCACAACAGTAACGTCAATTTCGGGCAAGCAATAAGTCACCACGTTTCTTCTCTGGTGGCCATGATATTTTTTAATTTTCTATTGTTTCTTTGGCTTTACAAGTCTTTGCTTTATTTATTTGTTTAAAAAAGTTGCTTCAGTAGTTTAATCCTGTAAATGTTGAAAGAGATATAGAAGCATCCCCGCATGCAACCGGTTCTTAAGGGCAAAGCAAAAAGAACCCCAAGAATGAGAAAAATAAAAGAAAACAAAAAAGTAAAAGGAAAGCGGTGAGACCCACCATATATATGAACGTGCATATGAGCTCTGGGCTCGAAGAAATCCAAGTAATCCTCATGAGTTCTCAGCCATAGATCAGTCATGTGTGGGAAAAAAAATGAATAATAAAAATTTAATAGAAAAAACCACTAACAAGGAACGGCAGACTGCCACCTTAGTAGACAACAAAAGGCACTGTTTCTTACATTTCTTCGATAAGTTCCGTGCAACATTAACGTTGGGCCTTCTCAAGGCCCACTTAAGAAGAAGACACGTAACATGTGTTCCCACGTGAAATGCATTACCCTCTGATCAATACTTATCATGTCTCTATAATCTATTTATATTCCCCCCCTAAAGCGCCTTAAGTTTTATCTTTGGTTAGATCTTAACTCTGCCTCGTGGCACAATCGCTTGTAGGTGTTAAAGCTGAAGGATCAACTGTCGGAGGCTGAGAAGGAGATTCAGCGGCTTCTAGAGCGTGCTGATAGAGTCCCAAGCAACAGTTCCAGTACTTCATCACAGTCACAGTCACAGTCACAGTCAATGGAAGCTGTGGACCCACCATTTCTTGGAGAATTTGGAGTTGATGGATATGACGATGATGTGTTCTACGTGCCTGAGACCCATTACATCAATGGCATGGAATGGATTAATGTGTTCATGTAAACCAATAGGAATTTAGCATTTTGTAGATAATGTGAATGAATGATCCAATGTATATTGTTCCTAGCTAGCTAGCTACGTCTGTGTGTTTGACTATGGTTTGGAAAGTATCCATTAACATAATAATTTGCATTTTGACCCCAAATGGCAGTATCTTCGTTTGTGGCGCTATGTTAGTTTATGTCAGCTATGAAGACATATAGCTGTGCCGTGTGTTTCTTTCTCAACAAAATAATAATTGAGCTCACCAATCCTAGCTTTGGTTTTTCTTTAGGGGAAAAGAATACCCATATAAAATTAAAGAAAGAATAAAGTAAAACTATTCGTCGTTGGATTGCTGGGCTACATAGTGACGACATTGAATTCTAATCTAGCGGGTCTCCTATTTTATTTTAGGCAATGACGACAGATTATTTATATTCAGCCTTAATTTTTGGGAATGTATTTATAATGGAATGCCTTACTGACTTTGCATTTGTTTCTTTGTAGTTAATTTCTAGTTTCATATTAGCACATTCATGCCACTACGACTGCATCAATCTCGAAAATAATCCGTTCCCAGTTCTCAATAGATAAGATTTAGCTTCTCTTTTTTTTTTTCTTTTTTTTTCTTTTTCACATACAACGTTACTCGAATGCATATCTGAACACCAATGGTACAAAAGGTTACTACACATTTGAATGGCTATTTTCTCTTGCGTATCTTAATATGCCGTACGTAGAAAGCAAGCTCAGTTTTTACTCTCGCAATTCAGTTATTATTTGGTTCTCTTTTTGTTCCGTGCGTGACTTAACAGTTCGTTCAATAAAAAAAATGAAAGAATCAAATAATATACAGCCTAATTTACCCTTCATTTACGCTGGTCTCTGAAGAAGCTTGAACGTAGAAAAAGTCTCTGCTGCTCGTTTAGGGGTCTGTTGTTCAAACATCATACTAAGAGACTGGAAACTTATATATATATATATATATATATATATATATATATATTTGTGAATTCTCCTTTATTGATTAAACTGATTTCAAGATCAATATTATAAATAATTAATTTTACACAGTAATATTACTTAATTTTTCAAAAACATTCATCTGCCTGCCCTTTATTTATAGTTATAACTTTATATAGCAGTTTTAACTTTTAGCATGATTGTGGTCGACATAATCTTATACTTTTAATACGAACAGTATATAATTAGATGATATTATTAGTTAACTAAAAAAGAACTTATTTTACGGTGTTATTGTGAATGGCGAAACATTCAATACGAGTACATTTAAACTAGTACTTTATCAGAATGAGTTTAAATTACACAATATGTGTACATGTATTTTACATCATGCATTCCAAAACATATATTTCTATATCATTTTAAAGACTTTAAAATACTTCTAAGAGTTTTTATGGGATGCACGGTTCTTAAGATTGAGTATGTAACTAGATTAGCTTAAAAAAATAAATTATTTTAATATATAATTATATTTATAATTAATTGATGCATTTAGATTGTATAGAATAATTTAGGTTGAAATTATTTTAAAAATATAAATTCATGTGTGCTAATTAGTTTTATATTTAAAACAATTAATTATTAAGGATAGAATGAGAAAATAAAAATTAACTAAAAAATAAATAAATAAATTTTAATCATAACTTTTAAAATTTTACTTGTTTTAAATAAACTGTTTTTATATATATTAAAATTAACTAAAGATTATAAGTTGATTTTTCAAAATTTTCCAAATAAATATATATATATATATATATATATATATATATATATTATTTTACATAATTAACAAGTTTATGAATAGAAAGGAAGAAAAATTGAGTGAAAAAAAATTTCATTAGATTCCAAATAAAATTGATGCATTTGTTTTAACGTTTTAACTATTTATATGAGTTTACAAATCATTATTAGTAATTATTATAAATTGAAAAAAAAAACAAAACAAAGGAAAACTAAATTTAATAACTAGGGATGACAATGGATAAAGAATTAGATGGACACCCGCAAAATTTATCCACAACGAGTAGGGTATTTATCCGCTACATTGGTATGGATATGGGTATCTAAGTACCCACCCCACTTCATACCCGCATATATATATATAAACTTTATTCTAAAACTATGTATCAAATTTTTGTATTATTATACTATTTATGTAAATTTATGTAAGACTAATATAAGAATATATTTAATAATAAAGTAAACCAAAAAAATTATTTTATTTTATATTTTTAAATAATTTATTTACTATTTTATATTGTTTAATTAGGCTAATACAATTTAATTATTATACAATTGATATGAGATTGACTTTCTAAAAAAATATTATTTATATATGACATACATATAAGATATTTTTCACACAAATATTATTGTTAATAAAACGATATTGATATTTAAACTATAAAGTAAATGATAAATAATAAATATATTATAAGTGTTTTATAAATTTTACAATCACCTATTATTACAGCAGACTTATTATTTATTGATAATATTTAAATTTTATTTTTATATTTTAATTTAAAATAATATTTTTCTATACAACATGTGCATTGAATCTAAATAATATTTTTCTTACTATTTAATTTACCAAAGAAGTTTTTGAAAAGATATAAAATATAAAAAAGATTATTAATTCTTATTTGTTAATTTTTTTCAATTAAAAAAGTATATTTTTTTTATATATATGTATATTTCTTTATTATAAAATTTTATTATGACCACTTATCTTTTATTTAAATTCTTTCTTTTAAAATTTATATACATTATAAATATTTAATTCATAAAATAATTTTTCAAAAATTTGTATTTTTAACAAAATACTTTTGTATAGTACATGAGTTAAAAATATTTGTATTAATATATATATTATTTAATTAAATTTGTTATTTTTTTTTACAATTTCAGCTTCAAAAGTATATATATATATATATATATATATATATATATCCACTTTTTGTTGTCATTTGGTACTTAAATTTTTTTGCCCTAAATCTACTCTCATTCTTAATGTTTGTCTCACTAAAACTTAGCAACTATAAAACGTTATTCATCAGAGTTAGTTGTCAATGCCGCCATAAGTGATCATCAAGTTATCTAACATGAAGGGCCACTAATTGTGCAGATCTATCTCATTGTCATCTAACATGAAGCGCCACTAATTGTGCAGATTTATCTTGTTGTCATTCTGTTGTTGCTGTTCGATTGGATCTCACACAAGATAGGGTCATCGCCTACAAATAACTTGTGTATTTAATTTCACTTATTATTTCTAAGAATTTTAGTTTAAAAAATTGTTGTATTAAGATATATTTAGCACTTGTGATCTTGAAATATTTATTTTTTATTCATATTTATACCTTGTTCAGAAACTACTTATGTGAAGTTAAATAAACATATTTTTCTTTATAAATATTTTTTTCTCAAATAAGTGCAGATAATGGATACAAGATAGGTAGGTATACGGGTACTTGAGGGTACGGGTACGAAGAATAATTTTCATACCTACACAAGTATGAGACTGGATACAGATATTTTTTTAAAACGCGAGTATGGAGATGAGTACTATAGTATCCTACCCATATACATTACATATTGTCATCCCTATAATAACTTTAACGATCAGCATTCTGTGTTAATAAACTCATTCAAATGCACACTAAATCCATGTAAATATGGTTTACAATCCTTGAACCTGACAAAAATTTGTTGTGTCCATTAAAGGTGACTAAAAAATGTATCTAAAACAATTTTATTTACAGATTATACATTAAACGCCTGAGATTCAAACAACCATTTTTTCCATACCACATTAATTGTATTAACTTACAATTTTCATTGTTTGCACTAAAGCACAAATTTTCTTTGTATATAACTTTTTAAAAAAATTAGTTTATGATGTAATTGTTATTATATTGTTAAATATTTAATTTTATGCCAAAGTTTGATTAAATAATAATATTTAAAATGTTATAACAATAATAGCACATCAAACTTAAATTTTAAATTTAAACAAATTTGATTAAATAAATACATGCTTGATTTCCTTTAAATAAGGAATCAACTTATTTGAAAATAATTTCTACTAAGAGAGCTCGTCTTACTACGACATAAATATTTCTTATTCGAGTAAAAGTATTTCCGATGAAAAATACTACAGATGAAATAATTTTTTTTATAAAAACTCTGAACTTTGTAACATTTATATTCACATATTGGCGATTTAGTTAATGAATTTTGAAATATTATATTTTGACATTCACTTTTTGGGTGTAAAGTGGGTGAGAGGAAGAGAGAAAAGAAGAAAAGAAAAAGAGAAAAACTAGAATATGTGAGTGATAAAAAATATATATATAAGAGAGACTGAATATAAATACATGAGATTTGGGACTTATTTGAATTAGTTTTGATTTTTAATTTTTAAAAGTTATATTTTAAAACAATTATATAAAAAAATAAAAATAAAATTTGTTTGATAATTTAATTTTTAAATTTGTTTTTAGTTAAAATTTTGTTAGTTTTTAAAAAAATAGAAAAATAAAAATAAAAACACAATAGTAATTTTGTTTTTCAGTTTTAAAAATTGAAAATAAAAATTATTTTTAAAACTTACATTAATAAATAAGTTTTTCTGTTTTTTATTTTCAAAAACAAACAGGCCCTTCATTTTTCTTTATTTTTGTGTTATTGCCCTACTAGGCATTAGTTTTAATTCTTTTGTTGTTGTTTTTTGGCTGCAAATACTTTGGTCTCTTTAAAATATGAATTTATTATCAAAATATTGGTCTATGCGGACTCTACTAGATCACTCGTAGCATGTGATCATACGTGATTTGGAGTTCAGGATAAGCTTATCCGATGTTTCAAGTTCACCATTGCTTCCTTCAATTTCAATCACGAGAAGGGTATCTGTAACAAGTATTCCACTGCTTAATTTGATATCCATAAAAGATGAAAAGGTAGAAGAATTATAGGAGAGAAACCAGCTTTTGCTT